GGGGGGTGGTGGGTTGGGTGGGGTTGGGGCTTCTGAAAGGCTTCGTGTGGGTGAGGGGGAGGGGGGGCAGGCAGTGAATTCATAACAGAAAAAGGACAATGATCCTATCTTGTTTTAAACATCTTACAGAAATTTTCTATTATAAAGCAATTTTACAACTCGACTGGAAACTCATTTAATTGCAAACAAAGTTTAGGAATAAAGTTTTAAATATGTCTATATATTTAATATCCATGTAAAAATAACCTGATTGTTATTCTACCTGTTCAACCGTTGCAAGTGTCTTGAGCTCTGGCTCAATGGTCTCTTTATCCACTCCGCTGCTGCTCCGCCTTCCTTTGCTCTTGCTTCTGAAAGGCTTCCCGATTTTAACTGACAGTGTTTGCAGGACTGAGCTCTCATCCGGTGAGGAGCCGCTGCGGGAGAAGGTGGACATACTTCTGCTTTCTGAGTTGGTGGCCTCGAACATTCTGCCCATGAAGTTCAGCCCAGCCTGGCGGATGTAAGAACTGCCGGCGAATACGTAAAGGAGAGGGTTAACGGCACTGCTGAAGTAGGCAAAAGCTATGACGATGGGCCGGACTGTGAGTGCAGCTTGAATCACCGACTGCCTGTTTTTCAAAAGACCGATCACCTGAGGAAAGAAGAAATGCAACAAGAGGGAATTTGTTTTATTGAACTTGTAAAAAATGTACGCTTTGTACATCAATACTGTCTGGGCAGTCGGTAACAGGTTGTGTCTCAAGACAATCATCACAATCACCTCAATCATGTTGACAATGTGATACGGCAACCAGAATATGACAAAGGCACAGATGATCATTATGATGAGGCGGCTGCTTTTTCCTCTGCTCTGGAACTTTGCACTTTGCAGTCGGCACATGATAGAGGAGTAACATGAGGTGATGAGTGAGAAAGGGACCAGGCAGCCCATGACAGTCTCAAACAGGTACTGGAAGGCCCAATGACCCACACTTTGCCAGTGGTATGGGATGCAATGGTGCACCGTGAAGTTGTTTATTATTATCTTCACATTGCTGTCAGAGAGGCAGAAGGGAAAGTAGACACACAAATGAAGAACATGAGGCAGTGTCACATAACACAATGTTTGAATGCAAATACGAGGACTCTCAGACATTACTAATAACATAGCTTCCATACAAACTTCTATAAAAGAATTAAAACTAATACCGCCAAAGAAGAAAAAAACTTTGTTGCATAAAATTTCAAATAGCTATAATTGTTTACATATATTTTACACATATTCACACATTTTCACACATTTTCACTGGAAATAAATTATAACAGACAGCAAAACTTCTGAGGATTGTGGCTGCGATATGTACAGTTTGAATATTAGCTTTTGAAGTATGCCTCAGTGGTTATGCCCATTCTATATTACCACTAATTTAAAAAAAAGCAGAACTAAGATGTAAATACAGACAATGAAATGAAAAAGATGAGTGGTCATCTGAAGAATCTTCCCTACACCAAAACATGAAGAGTGCTTAAAAAAGTGAAATAAACATCATGTTTTTTGTATTTTTTACTAATAAAATTGGAACTTCTAGATATTTTGCAGCTTAGACATTTTGTGAGATCTAACTCTGATTGTTTTCCTTTGTACTCCTCTATTTTGTGGTTATTTTGGAATGTAGTTCTGATACCAAGGGAGCCCTTAGCAAGATTTATACACTGCTCAGTTCATATCATGAGTCCAGTTTGGACTCTCTTAAATTGAAATGGAAAATGGACTTGGAGGAATCCATATCAGACTCAATCTGGAGAAAGATCATTAAGAACATTTACTCATCTTCAATCTGTCTGAGACATGCTGTAATTTAATTCAAGGTAGTACACCGGATGCACTGGTCCAAGGACAAGCTGTCCAAGATCAAAGCCGACTTGGACCCCACATGCAATTGTTGTAAACAAACTCCAGCTACACTCCTGCATACATTCTGGACCTGTCCCAAACTGCAAACCTTTTGGCAATCTATAATTGACACCTTCTCTGGAATATGTGGAAAAACTGTACACCCATCACCACTCATCTCACTGTTCAGGGTGGTCCCTGTGGATGCATCTTTCAGCAAGAACAAGAAGGACATGATTACTTTTGGCTCTCTCCTGGCCAGAAGACTGGCTTCGTGCAATTGAAAGGACCCACACACCCCAGCATATGTACACTGGAGAAGTGAAGAGATGTACCATATTCATTTGGAAAAAAAAAAAAAACAGATATACCCTAAAGGGTTCTGTTATTAGATTTTGGGACACTTGGCAGCCATTTGTGTCGGATGTGGAAAACTTGTGTTAAAGACGGGAGCTGGCTGCAGGTCACCGGACCCGGAAACCCCCTCCAGCCCACGTCTCTCCCCCCGGCTCGAATCTCCTTCAGAAGTGACAACTCTCATTATCAATAAATCAAGGAAACGTCAATTCAGTTTTACCAATTTTACAGTTTACAGCACTGGGCTCTCCGGTCTGTGACGCGTTCACAAACCCGAAAGAGCCCCGATGTCCCATGTCATTACTCATTTATAGGGTCCTGGACTCCTCCTTTGCAGAAGGGGAGCTCAACCTGTCAGTGTATGAGGAGGCGTGACTAGGTGTGATCTCAATGGATCTTATGTGGTTCTGATATGTTAGGAAATATGAGATGGTGCTTCAAAAGCCTTTCTACGTGATGTAGCAAGCAGATTAAACTCTATTCCTTGACAGATGTTGAATCCCAGGGAGACTCTTTTTAGAGTTGCTGGCTCAGTTTAACCCAGTCAGAACCGGGTCATAATTTCATTATAATCCCATCTCTGAGAAGATCAAAACCATAGGACCAATCCAAAAATATCTAACACTTGTCAATGCCTGTTTAGGTTATTTATATGTATACATACATGACAATACATACACATTATTATTTATGAGTTTATAACACTACACAACTCCACACTTTTACTGTCTTCAGTTCTACATCAGAAATCCATCTATCCATTATCTTTACCCGCTTCTTCCTTTTTGGGTTGTGGGGGTCACTGGTGCCCATGTCCAGCAATCACTGTGCAAGAAGCGGGGGACACCTGGACAAGTTGCAAGTCCATCACAGGGACACATAGAGACAGACAAGACAAACCATTCACTCTCTCACTCTCACCTATAGGGACAATTTAGAGTTACCAATCAGTCTAACATGCATGTTTTTGGTCTGTGGGAGGAAACCCAAGTACCCGGAGAAAACCCACACATGCATGGATAGAACATGCTAACTCCACCCAGAAAGGCCCCCAGACCAGGATTTGAACCAGGGACCTGCTCGCTGAGAGGCAGCAGCTCTACCAGTTGCAACACCGTGCTGCCCTATGAGATAATTAATTATCTTGGAGTTTACAATTTCTGTTAGAAAGGTATAGTGTCACTAAAAATCAATTGTGATACAACCCATCCCCTAATCATGATCAATTCATACTTTTTTCATAATGCAATGAATTTCCATATGAGATTGGGTTCAACGCATTGGGATAAAATGTAATAAAATACAGCAAAGCAAAGGAATTTTGCTATGGCAGTTATTGCAGCTGTGCATTTACTACAAAATAAAAGAAACTCACAAACATGTCTTGCTTTTAAAATGTAAAACACTTCCATAAAACCTAGTTCACAAACAAAACACAAAAACCAAGGTCTAGTTCAAAATCACCAGCTACAACTAGCAGCAACAGATGTGTTCATCATCGTCTCCATGACTCAGCAGTTAGTAGAAATTGCATTTTGTAAATTATAAATAAACACATAAGTGAGTCACACTTTTAGAGTTTGTTGCCATTTTAACCAATGCTGCTGCCATTCTCCTTGTGAGTAGTATGCAATAATAATGTAAAACATTAAAACAAAACAACATTGGTAAACAACAAGATGTGCAGCAAGAAGAATAATCCAATAGAAAAAAAAGAAAAATAAATAAGACAGAAGATACACTCATCATATACACTTTTTGGTACCACTTTACAATAATAAAGCTCCCCTTATAGATGGCTAATAAATAGTTTATAGATACATTATTAATTAATCTATAAACACTTTATAAATCATTAATAACTGCTTATTATGCATTAATTAAGTGTGACAGAGAGACGACACTGACCAGTTTCTTGCCAAATAGTGAACCAAATCTGCTCACCTATATATTTCATCTAGAGTTGTTATATTAAACATTTCAGACATTCAGACCGTGTAAGTGCAATAAGCATTTGTAAACCTGTTTTTTTTTTAGGATATAATATTAGTTGTAGATACTTATAATGCATTGATAAAGTACAATATTATATGCTAAAGAAATAGGTTTACAAATACTTATTGTGCTTACAAGGTAATAACATAATCTGAAATGTTTAATATAACAACTCTAGATGAAATAGATACAGGTATCTGTATATACTGTAATATATACAGGTGAACAGATTTGGCTCCTATTTGTCAAGAAACTGGACAGTTTTGTCTCTGTTACCCTTAATTACTGCATAATAATCAGTTATTAATGATTTATAAAGTGTTTATAGAGGAATTAATCCATTCATTCATCCATTATCTTTACCCGTTTATTCCATTTTGGTCACGGGGGTCGCTGGTGCCCATGTCCAGCAATCACTGTGCGAGGGGCGGGGTACACCCTGGACGGGTCGCAAGTCCATCACAGGGCCACATAGAGACAAACAACCATTCACTCTCTCATTCACACCTAGGGACAATTTAGAGTTACCAATCAGCCTAACATGCATGTTTTTGGACTGTGGGAGGAAACCGGAGCACCCGGAGAAAACCCACGCATGCACGGAGAGAACATGCAAACTCCACCCAGAAAGGCCCCTGGACTGGGGTTTGAACCAAGGACCTGCTCGCTAAGAGGCAGCAGCTCTACCAGTTGTGCCACCGTGCTGCCCTAGAGGAATTAATATTGTATGTATTTATAAACTATTTATTATAAGATGAGACTTTTTGTAAAGTAGTACCCACTTTTAAACTTTTTTGGAATTTTTACACATATAAAGTGGGCGGCTGTAGAAGAACCTGCTTGAACATTCTTCATGTAATCATTAAACAGAATGCTTTTTTTTAAAGACATAAGAAACTGACACATCTACACTGGTGCTTGAAAGTTTATGAAGACTTTAGATTCAATTTCACTTACAAAAAAGGGCCAAAATTAAAACCATTTTCAAACTAAGGACCAATTTCAGAAACTACATTAAGTCAAATCAGATACCCAACATGTTTTCTTGGTCACAGGTTCCTCAAGAGTTTGACTGGTCTCATTTGATGTTCTCTGTTGTGCTTTCGACATCATAATCAAAGATTACTTTTTAAAAAAATCAATAGATAGACGCATTTTACGTTTCACATATCATCTTATGGGCCAGATAAGATGTCAACAAGGGCTACATTTGGCCCCAAAGCCTTGCGTTTGACACATATGCTTTAGAATTTTCTATGTTTCTGCATAAATTTGACGTAAAACATAATCAGATTTTCAGTAGATAATGAGAACCCAGTTAAACAAATGAGACAAAATAGTATACTTGGTTATTTATTTATTGAGGAAAATTATCTCTGTGTGAGATGTGGCAACCAGCTGAAGCACTGAAGCCATCAGAACTGTTTCACCAATTGGAATTAAGTACCCGTCATTAAAAGACTGCAGATTTGCACTGAAAGCATCATATTTAGAGGCTCTTGCTTTCTCTTACTCCACTCCTGTAACCTGGAATTCTTTGCAAAAAGATTTGAAGTTGTCGACTTTGACCTCTCTAAGGGATTTTAAACAACTAAGTTCAATACAAAAATCAACACAGACATATTCCAGTTTTTAACATTTTCCACTGTTTTATAAAGTAGCTTGTTTTTATTTTGTTTTGTATCATTTTTTATTTACTTCTCTTTGTATATGCTTTTATATGATTGTCTATTGTTGTCTGTACCTGCTCTTTGTTCTTTGTTTAAAACAGGTCTCTCTTGTAAATGAGTCCTCATGACTCAATGAGACTAACCTGTAGAAATAAATGCATTACTAAGGAGTTTTGTTATATTCATTTTTTATTAAACAAACCACAAATTAATAATAGTATAAATTCAATTACAAAATATAAAACTTGACTAACATTTAAATAGTAGATGTAATAATTAAATTATTTATGATGTACTTATGATCTGGTATAAAACCAATACTTGGTGCAAAAAACATTGGACACCCCTCGTTTACAGGACTCAAGGATGCAGACTAGCATTATGATTTGATGAGAAGAAAGGTTTTCTACATAAACAATGTTGTCAAGGAAGCAAGCTGCCAGGCCAGCAAAGGCTGACAAAAAAAAAAGATTCAAAAAAATAATTGTCGAAAAAATAATAGGAAAACACTGCTGCCCTGCCAGCTAAAATACAAAATGCTAAGGCCCATGGCACATATGCTGGACTGAAAGTTGATTGAAAGGCAGGAGTGAAAATGTGCAGGAAGGAATGGACTGAGTGGCTGTAGCTGAGACTAATGAGAATGGAGAACAGGTGGAAGATAAAAGACACAACTGAGGAATAGAATGAAAAAGAAGTGATGGCACAGAGAAACACAGGGGAACACAAGTGAACACAAAAGATCTCAAAAACAACAAAAACCTCTGAAATAAAATAATAATTGTAACCAAACATAAAGCAGTAATTAATAAACACCAATAAACAGACTTTGACCTTTACACTTTATATAAACAAATGTATTTAAATATAGCTTTGTACAAAAGTTGAGAATAAACTTTCAAATTTTTCATTATCTTGAGAAATTCAATATGTCTGTCATGATCACCAGTCTCTGTGTGCTCCCCATCTGTCCATGTCCCTGCCTCTCTGTCATTCTGCCATATTTAATTAGAACAGAACAATTTTTCCTAAAAAACAGCCCTTATGAATGCTAATTAAACTGCACCATCAAGGTTATATTTAAAAACATACCAGTAGGTCTCTTGTTAATGAGTCCCCAAGGCTTAATGGGAATAATCTGTATAAATGAAGGTTGAATGAGTATATTCAGTAGTCCCTAGCTGCTTCAAGGTTCAATTTTCGTGAACTCGCTGTTTCGCAATTTTTCAAAGAAAGATTGGACATGCCACACCACTGACTGATTGATGGATGAGCCGAGCCACATGAGCTGCGTGGATTGTTTATCTAAAATATATATTTTAAATGATTTAGCACCTGCTAAATTATTAGGTGCAGGGAGAAGCTCCCTCCTGCTGTGCCCGGTGTCAGAGCTTGGTCTGCATTGCCGACAATAAGTTGAGCTCATTCCCAGTGAGAGTTGGATTCCGCCAAGGTTGCCCTTTGTCACCGATCCTGTTCATAACTTTTATGGACAGATCATACTGATGCATGCTCCATAATCTTACATCGGGGAAACTAAACAGCCACTGGCCAAAAGGATGGCCCAGCACAGAAGATCAACATCATCGGGCCAGGATTCTGTGGTCTACACTCATCTCCAGGCCAGCGGTCACTCTTTCAAGGATGAAGATGTTCACATCCTGGATAGAGAGGAACGATGGTTTGAGAGAGGAGTAAAGGAGGCCATCTTTGTGAAAAGAAATTGTCCATCATTAAACAGGGGTGGAGGCCTCTGTGTTCAACGGTCCCCCTCTTACAATGCTGTTATTGCTAGTATCACTCAACCCCCTTTGAACAGTAAACAGCCATTAGTGTGCTAATGATCCATTGTTAGGCTGATGGTCCTTCTTGACCATGTGATCAGCTGGTTTTGGTTGTCAGCAGCAAACTGGTTGATCCACTCTGAGAAGGTGCTATTTAAGAGACTGAGCTAAATACAGCTCCTCAGACTGAGGAAGTCTCTTGGATGAGAGACGAAACGTTTCTACATTTTTTTGCTTTGTTTTGTTTTTTGGTGGGGTTTTTTTTATGTCCAGAGGACCAGATTAAACTTTTTTGGATTTTATGGACAGAATTTCTAGGCGCAGCCAAGGTGTTGAGGGGATCTGTTTTGGTGGCCTTAGGATCACTTCTCTGTTTTTTGCAGATGATGTGGTCCTATTGGCTTCATCAGGTCGTGATCTACAGCTTTCCTGGAGTGGTTTGCAGCCGAGTGTGACACGGCCGGGATGAGGATCAGTTCTTCCAAATCCGAGGCCATGGTCTTGAGCTGGAAAAGGGTAGAGTGCCCTCTCCGGGTCGGGAAGGAGGTCTTGCCCCAAGTGGAGGAGTTTAAGTATCTCGGGATCTTGATCACGAATGAGGTAAAAATGGCACGTGAGATCGATAGGAGGATAGGTGCAGCGTCGGCAGTGAAGCGGGCGCTGTACCGGTCTGTGGTGGTGAAGAGAGAGCTGAATCAAAAGGCAACGCTCTCAATTTACCGGTCGATCTATGTTCCTACCCTCATCTATGGTCATGAGCTTTGGGTTGTGACCCAAAGAATAAGCTCACGGATACAGGCGGCTGAAATTAGTTTTTTCTGCAGGGTGTCTGGGCGCTCCCTTAGAGATAGGGTGAGAAGCTCGGTCATCCGGGAGGGACTCAGAGTAGAGCCACTGCTTCTCCACATCAAGAGGAGCCAGTTGAGGTGGCTCTGGCATCTGTTTAGGATGCCTCCTGGACGCCTCCCTGGTGAGGTATTATGGGCACGTCCTACTGTGTGGAGACCCAGAGGAAGACCCAGGACATGCTGGAAGGACTATGTTTCTCGGCTGGCCTGGGAAAACCTTGGGATTCCCACGGAGGAGCTGGCCCAAGTAGCTGGGGAGAGGGAAGTCTGGGCCTCCCTACTTAGGCTGCTACCCCCACGACCTGACCCCAGATAAGTGGAAGAAAATGGATGAATGGATGGAGATATATATATATATATAGATTAGGGATGCACCGATCCAATTTTTTTTTTTTACTTCCAATCCGATCCCGATACCTAAATCTAAATATCGTCCAATACGATCCAGTTCCGATATCATGATCATCATTGATTTTATATGAGGCTGTAATAATCTCCTCTCAAGTACAATTTATACAAATATATGCATGCATGTCCAAAAAGGCAACTTGAGGTAAGTTTTATTAATGTTGGATAAGTTTTAAAGTTAGAATTAAATTCTGCTAACACAAAAAATGTTTCTTTTTATTCCTAGTTTTAAAGTGGATATTAAAGTGATTAAGTGATTGTTTAAAGTTATTTTATATTTTTTTAATTAAGGGGCAGATGTAAAAAATATTTTTCTTCTTTCTGCACTCTTTTCATTCAATGTTTTCTTTTTGATGATTTTTTTTTTTATTTTGTTTCATTTAAATGAATGAATAAATGAAATAAATTAAATAAAATGTTAAATGGCTTCAAACATCTGCTAAGTTCATGACATAAACCAACAGGCATGTTCCTGTTTTTAGTATTTTACATCACTTTATAATGTAGCTGTTTGTTTTTAATATAATTTTTAAATCATATGTTTTTTATGATTGTTTATTGTTGTACTGATAAATATCTCATGCAGGGTAAACTATATCTTGACTGCAAATACCAAACTGTGAAATCCTTCATTTTCTACAGCTGATAGTGGTTGGTCATTAATTATATGAAGTTTATCAACTTCTCTGTAAACATTTGAGCTCCGTGGTTTCAGCGATGTCTTCTTCTTGTTCAATCCGAAGCAGGCAGCCTGATTTGGGGCAGCTGCGCTCAGTCTGTCCCTCCTCAGAGACGGGCAGACTGAGCGGGGCAGATTGGACGCGGCTGGCCGGGGTCGAGTCGTCTGTTGTGGGTTGAGCAAAGAGCAGCGCCCCGCTGAAGCCACGGAGTTCGAATGTCCATCGTAAAACTAACTTTACCACGGTTTAATGTGGCGCTATGGCTCTGCAGACATTGCACATTGCTGTCTTGTTTTGTGGTGTTTCTAGTGTAAAATACTTCCACACAGCGGACATGTTTAGATGAAAAGTTTGTTAGCTGTTAGCCACAGTGATGCTAACTCAGCCCTCACGTTGTAGCTGGCTGCAAACTATGAACTGGATTTCCTGAATATGAGGCGGGTCTTATTACTCTGGGTTTATGAGACACGCCGCCATTCAAGAAATCCATTCCATAGTTTGAAACCAACATGCATCATGGATCGGAAATTTTTTATTTATTTATTTTTTCATTTAGCCTTTATTTATCCAGGTTAGTCTCATTGAGCCACGAGAACTCATTTTCAAGAGAGACCTGTTTAGGGAGCACATGGTGGGGTTAAGGGCCTTGCTCATGGGCCCAGAGTGGGGCGAATGAGGGTGAGGCAAATGTGGGTGTTTCACCTACCCCACCCACAATTTTTGATGTTGTCGGGGCCGGGGCGTGAACCGGCGATCTTCGGATCACAAGCCCACCTCTCTAACCTCTGCGCCACCACTCCCCCCAAATCGGCAGGTGGATCGGAAAAATCCGATACTTAAATTATTCTGGTATCGGAGGCCGATACCAATACTGGATCAGATCGGCCCCATCCCTAATATACTTTGTATATATATATATATATATATATATATATATATATATATATATATATATATATATATAAAGCTGAAAAGTATTTAAAGGTAGTATTTTATTCTTACCTGCGGTAGAATGGCATCGGCAATGACAGGATGAAGGCCAACACCCAGACCCCCAGCAGGAGAACCAGCAGGGAGCGCTTCGTTCTCATTCTTTGAGACATAAAAGGCTTTGTGACAGCCAGCCAGCGGTCCATGCTCATCATGCAGATGAGGTAGATGGACACATACATGTTGACACTTGACAGGTAATGGATTAGTTTGCATGCCACCGAGCCAAACTCCCATCCCCTTCCTCCAGCCAGGTAACGCAGGAAAAGAGGGGCACTAAGCAACACAAAGCCATCAGCCAAAGCCAGATTTAGCACCAGCAAACACGTCACTGAGCGCTTCTTCACCCGGCAGAGCACCGACCAGACAACAAACATGTTCCCAGGGAAGCCTAGAACAAATGCTAAGGTCAGGATGGTGATACCAACACCGCCTGACACATTTTTGGGCAAGGAGAGGGAGCCGGGTGGGGAGGATGGCTGGAAGTTTGTGGAGTTCATTGTGGATGCCGGTAATTCCTTTTGAAGAACGATTTTAGCTTCTGCAACCGCTGCTGCCAAACCTTGTGAAAATAGGAAGGAAACAGGAAATGTTTTGTTAACGTTGTTAAATGAGGGTGAACGCTGCAACTTTTGCACAACTTGAATTGTTTTTCTCACAGAGAACAGAGCTGTACGTACTCATCAAAATGCTTTACTTAGGCCTTAAGTATTAAGTATTTGTTCTTGTCCATTTCTGCTTTTTTATTTCATTTTAATTTTATTGCATATAGTATTTTTTTTAGGAATCTTTAGTTTTAGAGATCAGTTTTCCAACAGTAAATTTTGCTGAAATGTTGAACTAAAGTGTGGCATCTTATATAAAATGCCTTGAATAAATATCCCGTCATTTATCTTAAGTCGGTTTTTCCTTTTTGGTTCACAGGGGTCACAGGTGCCCATATCCAGCAGTCACTGTGTGTGAGGTGGGGGACACCCTGGACAGGTCTCCAGTCCATCACAGGGACAATTAGAGACAAACGAGACTAACAACCATTCACTCTCTCACTCACACCTAGAGACAATTTAGAGTTACCAATCAGCCTAGCATGCATGTTTTTGATCTGTGGGAGGAACCTGAAGTACCTGGAGAAAACCCACACATGCACGGAGAGAACATGCAAACTCCACCCAAAATGGTCCCCAGCCAGGATTTGTACTGGCAACCTCACTGAGGCAACCGCTCTACCAACTGAGCCACCGCCTGATTAGGATTTCATAACCTTTAAACGTTTTCTGTATTTATTTATTTTTTATAATGCAGCCACAAATTTCAAAGTATTTCACTGAATATGATGAAATAGACCAACCCAAAGTAGAATTTAATTGTTTAAGGGGGAAATGACATGGCATGAGCTTTTCTTTCTTTTTTCTTTTTTTTTACAGAATAAATCTGAAAAGTAAAAAAACAAAAAGCTTCAGGTGAAGTGGACGTTTGTTTCACAGTAACAATATTTTAAGCTAATTGTTGTAATTTTTCATCAATATCATCATCGTCGTCGTCTGCATCATTATGTTTCACTCATCTATGACCAAAAATGAAAACAGATCAAATTCATATGTTTTTGTTATTTCAGTTCAGGTAAGTTTATTTATTGATTCAGCTGTCCAACATATTTGTTATGAGTATTGAAAGCTAAATGTCTTAACTGTTGCTATTTGATAATATATAATTCAAATATAATTATTTGAGATTAATTAACTAAAAAGCTTGATAAATTATTTCAGTTGAGTCCCATGGAT